GGCCGGGCCGGGCCGGGCCGGGCCGGGCCGGGCGGCACAGCCCCCCTGCCCTCGCAGCGCAGCCCCGCTCGGAACAGGCTGCAGCCCCGCCGCGCGGCACCGGCACCGCTTCCCGCCGCGGTCCCGTCCCCAGGGCACCAGCCCTGGCTCCGCTGCTCCTGCGGCACGGGGGGCACCGGGGCAGGACGTCACCACACTCCGACACAGCCATGCTTCATTATCAAACTTTAATTCATGAGACTAGTCTTACAGAATAAAACAACAGAATAACCGGTCAAGGTTACACTTAAAAAATCCAGCAGTGCAAATCTAAGACTAAATAGTTGTCATTTCCCCCTCCCCTGAAATAGGCAAGAGATAATTTAAAAATACCATAAAACATGGTACTTACATATTCCATTTAAAATAAATCTGCAGAGGACACAAACATGATTAAAGTTTTCTTTTTTAATAGAAAACCAAGGAATGAATTGCCCAGAGGATAGGTAGGACACCGTGACCTCCCACGAAGCACAGGGAGCAAGTCCTGGGCTGGAAGGGAGCGCGGCCCCGCACGGCATGGGGCTCACACAGGACTTGCTGCAGCTCCCCCGTCCCTGCTCCCTCCCGCAGGGACCAGACATTAATGACCAGAACGAGATACAAACAGTCGGATTCGGAAAGGCTGGATGCTCGGCTCCAAGTGTCAACAACCCCACTGGAAAACACTTACAGGTCAAGGAAGGCAAGCAAACAGCAGCAGGAAAGCCTGGGCACAGACGGGCGCCGGGAGCCTCCCGCCGTGTCCCTGGGGATGGGGAGGAACAGTGGGATTGGGGGGGACATGCAGCAGCCACCACCCTGCCAGGGCACCCCGACACTGCGCAGTGCCGGGAGCTCCTCTTGGGCCTGCGTTACGACACGGGGGATACCGACGGCACCGGCCAACCACGCACCCGAGCGGCTGCCCTCACGCCTGGCGCACCACAACCGCCGTGGCTTCACCGTGTCCTACACAAGCCTTTTTCTTCACACCACCCTTTTTCATCTGCTTTCCTACTGAAACACTAACCCAGAAGCCGTTTACGCTTGGGAAGCACAAGCGGATAGGGAAGGAGCCCGGGGAGGCACGAGCTGCACAGCACGGGACACAGGGCGAGCGCCGCGGCACCGGGGCACTCGGCAGCACCGCGGCACGGGGCCCTGCGAGGAGCTCGGTAAGGGCCACGGCCTCGCGCGCGGGCGGCCTTACTGCTGCTGCTGCGCGGTGACACGCGGTGACACGCAGGGGACACTGCCCGCGCACTGGGAGCCACCGCGACGTCGGCACGGGAAACGTCGTCTTCTGCTGCAACCCCACACCTGCATTCCAATTAGTAAACCTAGTGAAGCACTTAACACATCATAAGAAACAGCACTCCCAAATTAACGTTCGTAAGGAGTTACACATATATACACACAACAGGGAACCCATCTCCCTACAGAGGCGTTAAATTGTGATTTAACTGAAATACTTTAACTTCTGAATAAGAATCACCACAGATTTTACCATATACTTCCTATGGAAGATTACACAAAAGATCTGATCTGAATCAGTCAACTTAAAATACCAATTGTATTTGCACTTTATTTGTTACACTTGTATTTTACTGAGGTCTCAGCACCCATTCCTGCACAGGACCATTTGGCACCCTCAGTCTGCCCTGGAATCACTCTGAGAGTAAAATCCAAAGTCAAGAGCCTAGAAATGAGCTCCCCTGTCAAATAAGTCGTGACATCATACAACCGAGGAGATGGTGTTTCTCAGGTGTTAGGACCAGTCAYGTCAGTAAGTGCCTTTAAAATGGGTATATATCAGAAGACACAGAGTTCCACATCACTCTGAGAGGGGAATCTTGAGAGAGAGGCTGGTTAAGTTCAGTTAGAACATTAATTTTAAAGAGCTTCCAAGAAACTTACTATATTTAGCCAACAAGCATCAAGTAAAGCATTTTAGGTATCCTTTTTGCAGTATTTGAAATCAAATTTTGCACATGGAAAAGTGAAACCCAAACCAAATTTACCTGAAAAACTAGCATCTATACAGGATTTTTTTTATATATATAACATTCTTTCTCTGTGCTTAAAACTGCTCTGCAACATACACCTGTACTACTCGTTTTCTCCCAGGGTCACTGCTTTGCTGCAGCCGGCCGGGCTGTGYAGCTCCGCGGCGCTGGGAAGGGGCCGCGCTCCGAGCTCCAGCTCCAGCCCTGCGGTGGGGCCGGGTCCAGGCAGAGCCCTCGGGAAGGAAGGGACAGGGAAGGGAGCAWGAAGGGACAGAGCTGCCCAAACGAGGCATGGACACAGAAGGGGACAGGTACCAAGAGACCCGCGGCTGCCTCGCTGACTCCCCGCAGCAGAAAGCGCTGCTGCCGCTCGGCTCCCTAAAGCATTCGCTGCAGCACGGACACGGACATGTAGTTCTAATACTTGGACTGATAATTAGGAGATAAAAGTTGTGACTGCATTTAAGTTGCCATTTTCTCCCTACTTAACTCACAGCAATTCCATTATCTGCACCGATCCCCTTTCTTGGAGCCCTCGGGAGGAGGCTGGTCTAAGGAGCTGCCATGGTACCGCTTGAGGACAAAGGAACTCCTGCCACGAGGAATTCACACCAAGACCTACCGCGGATGGCTTGCGTACAGAAAAAAACATACCTCGAGCTATCAGAGCAGTCAGCACATCAACAGTTTATAGACAGAGGATGGGGAACAACTTTAAAATTCATTTTGAATGAGTGTTCTAACTGAAAACAGGAAACAAGAGCTGCTTATGTTGCCATCAATGTTATAAAGGTAAATGCCACCTTAACTCAAATTCACTTTCAATAATATTAGGAAAAAAGTGAAGACCATTGTATCATAAAATGAACACACTTTCCTGTCTATAACAAAACAAATATTCACTGGGGAATTTGCATCTGCTGAGTTTCAACTGAGCTATTTCCAGGAAAGTGAAAAACAGGGAATATATTGCAGCTATTCCTGGAAGGATGTCTCTCCTCGAAGGTCACGAAATGCTGAACTACTTGTACTGAACAAACATTACTACAGCGTTAAAACAACCAACGTGATCTCTGGGATGCAGGTTCAACGCACAGCAAGACTGGCTCGTGATGCAGTGTAAGGGTGTGCACCTTTTCTGCACTGAAAGGTCCATTCAGAAAACCTGAGATAAATGGCACATTAACTGCTGAGATGACGGCCAGAAGATCACAAACCAAAGGCAAGGAACATTATTTCAGACAGGACTAGATGCAAGAAGTTCCTGAAAACTTAAGCAAAGAAAAGCTGGGTAAGATCACCATAAATTTTCAAGAAAGACCACCACAATTATTCAGGATCCAATTAAAATGGCATTTTAGACCTCTGTTCCCCATCCCCCAAAAGAAGGAGAAAAAAAAGAAAAAAAAAAAAAGAAAGAAAAAGAAAAAAAGTGATTAAAGAAAAAAGAAAAAAATCCCCACCAAACCAGCCCCAAACCCCACAACACAAAAAAAACCCCACGCAGGCAGCTCTCTGGCGCAGCCTGTGTCACAGGGCATCCCTCGGCTGCCCTGCACATGGGCTGGAAAAGCTCCAGATCTGCAGCCCTCGCAGGAGGGGGAAGAGGAGCAGAGCTACGTGGGCGGGAAAGGAGAGCTACCGGCGTGGGAAACGGGACAGAAACGGCACTGGGTCCCTGCGCTTACACAGCATCCGCCCGGGATTCATCTGCTCCACAGATGCCAATGCCAACCCAGGACTTCTAGGATACAGACAACAAAACCAGAAAACAAAACAACACTTTGGGTTAAGAAAAGAAAGGGTTTTGCTACCAAAGTCGAACCTGAAAGAAAAGGCCCAGCAGAATATGGCTTACTGAACATCAATTTTGCATACTATTTAAAGTTTATTTTAAAAAACGGCTTCTGAAATTCTCAGTCACAACCAAGTTACTAAATTAAGTCTAATGCTTGTAACTGAAAGATTATGAAAATATTTTTGTTCCAACCATGTAAAAAATCCTCAACAATAGACTGTAATATTTTCTTTTTAAAACTAAAATGGAAGATCAAMTCTTAGCAGATTTAAGTGTATTACACACAATATTTTGTGAATTAAGATTTATTGATTTCCATTGTATTTGCTTTAAATATGGTTGAAGCTGACTGCAGAAAAGGGATGCTGAAATTTTTAAGTTAAAAGTAAACTAATGGTGAAAGAACATCACCTCTGGCTTCCATCAATGCCTCGTTTATCATATTTTATTAATAAGTTCCAGGACTATCACATCCAGGGATGTTGGAGGCCTCTCCCAGCAGTGTCCTTAGCTTTGTGTCATTTTCCTGTGCCAGAGGTGAGCGTGCTTTCAAAAATACTGCCATTTCCCCAGCACCGTGTCTTTGATTGCATCGACATATTGAGTCGGTACCCAATAGACCCAGTAGTAAGATGCTTCTGTTGGGCCCAGCTGAAATGCCTGCAAAGTTAAAAATGACAACATTTACAAACGGGAAC